ACACTCTGAATTTCGGCGACAGATTTTAATCTCCCCTCAGTCTCCTAATCCATAAAATCTGTTTTCTTGTCCCTTGTCCCCCGACCAGACGATGATGCTTACAAGGACTTACAAATCACCCGAGCCTCCTGGAATTAGCCTTGAAAAGGAAAGCTATTGAGGCAGGACCAGTTGCGCCAGTTTCGGCTGAAAAGCATGGCAAGGAGGAGGAGGAGGAGGAGACTGGGATGGCCCAGCAGCGCTTCGTCTCATCTCGTTCCTCGTTCCTCGTTCCTCGTTCCTCGTTCCTGCCCCTTGGATTTTGATTTCCCAAGGGCCTTCTTGCTGGCGATGATCCGACCTCAGAAGGGGAGGCCAGCCAAGTCTGTTCTGTGGTTGATGGCAAGATCCTTCAGCGCACCCGACTTAATCTATTGTCCAGGAGAAGAAAAGGGGGGCATTGCAAACATTTGCCTTGTTTACCTTTGTGGAAAGTCGCCTACATTTTACAGCATCCACCTTTTGTTTTCAATGGTCCATCAATATCCCCTGGAATACTCTTTAACATAAAGGTTTCGTTTGGATAATTAAACCTCTGCCAATAATCACTTTGTTTTCAAGGGCCCATCAATATCTCCTGTGCTGGAATACTCTTAAAATAAAGCTTTAGTTTATTATTTATTTGTTTGTTTATTTTATATCCCGCCTTTCTCCCAGTACAGGGACTCAAGGTGGCTTAAACCCATAAACACTTTTTCAATGGCCCATAAATATCTCCTGTGCTGAAATATTCTTAACATAAAAGTTTATTTTATTTTATTTTATATACTGCCTTTCTCCCAGTACAGGGACTCAAGGTGGCTTAAACCCATAAACACTTTTTCAGTGGCCCATAAATATCTCCTGTGCTGGAATACTTTTAATATAAAGGTTTATTTCATTTTATTTTATTTTATTTTATTTTATATCCCGCCTTTCTCCTGGTACAGAGACTCAAGGTGGCTTAAACCCATAAACACTTTTTCAATGGCCCATAAATATTTCTTGTACTGAAATATTCTTAACATAAAGGTTTAGTCTAATTAACAGAAGAAGAAGATGATGATGATGATGATGATATAGTTTGGGAGGAAAGCAAGACCCAGCTGACCGAACTTTAAGACACCAATCTCAGAGAATTGACAGGGAGGAGTCCCATTCCGGCAGTGATATTAATTAATTAAGAAGCTGCTGTATTATTTTAAATTGCATTGTTTTTAACTCTTTTGCATTCTTTTCAAGTGTGTAGTTTTCAGTTGTTTTAATACGCTTAAGTTTGACTCAGTTTCAAAGTTGACTTTTTCTCTGTGTGTTTGTTTTGTTGTTGTTGTTGTTGTTTTGGTTTGTGTGTTGTGTTGTTTGTTTTCTGTTATGTTCTAGTCATTTTGATTTGCAAGCCGCTTTGACCCCCAATTTTGCGGGGAAAGAGGGGTATAAATAATGACAACCAAGAGGAGCCCTAAATATCCCAAAGACACCAGATCCTGGAAGCTAAGCCCGGTCAGCCCTGGTTAGCGCTTGGATTGGAAACCATCCGACAGGCGACTTCAAGGCGCATAGACAAACATGTACACACACACATTTATGGGGAAACATCGATCACTAGTGAGAACACTGGAAATTGCTTGGTCCATGGATTTCAAATAGCTTTCTTATTTTCAGCCACCGTTGAAGGACACCAGAATCGCCTTTGCTCCACCAGAATAAACCAAATAAAAGACTCGCTCAGGGTTGTACTGATTCCTCAGGTTCCTCCTAAAGGGTCTAGACTTCAGCCTCGGACTTCAGGTTTTGTTTTAAGGATATAGGTGCCACTGAAAGACCCTTCTGCAGTGAGATCTGAATGCTTCTGTCCTTAATACGTCCCCTTCGTTCCTATTATTGACTTTATTATTCTTATTCTTATTATTTATTCCTATTAATATTGCTTCGTTCCTATTATTAGCTGTATTCTTCCTATTACTGTTATTATCATTATTCATATTCTTATTAATATTCCTTCGTTACTACTATTGGCTCTAACTATTGTTCCTATTATTATTTATGTTATTATTATCCCTGTTATAATTATTATTATTATTATTCCTGAGACTAACTGAAAGAAATTGGCAATATGAGCCAATTTCTTTCTTTCACTTAGGGGGGTTGCAGACTGCCAGAAATAGTGCAAATTGAGTCCACTTTTAGGGTTAGGGTTAGTGCTAGGGAATCTTGGGAATTGTTTTTTTTTTTTTTCCTGAGACATTGAGCCCTCTCTGTCAGAGAGCTCTGGTGCCACAATAAAATACAGTTCCCATGATTCCCTAACCCTAACCCTAAAAGTGGACTGAATTTGCACTATTTCTGGCAGTCTGCAACCCCCCTTGATCTTAAAGGTGCCACAAGGTCTCTCTACGTACTGATTCTACAGACTAACACGGCTGTATCTTTGAATTATTATTCCTGTTCCAACTATTATTCCTCCGTTCCTACGATTGGCTCTATTATTCCCATTCCTATTATTATTATTATTATTATTCCTCCGTTCCTATGATTGACTCTAAGTATTCTTCCTATTATTATTCATTACTATTATTCTTCCTGCTAGTGTTATTCCTATTCCTATTATTCTTCCTTTTTTCCTGTTATTGAGTCTAATTATTATTCCTGTTGTTGTTGTTCCTGTTCCTATCATTATTCCTCCGTTCCTGTGATTGCTTCTAAGGGTCCCCACCAATTTGAGGGAGGTCCCCCACTTTCCATCCCCCGACCCTTCCTTCCTGGGGCTCTGAGGCCCTCTTTCTCCACCGGAGTCAACAGAGGAGAGAGAGAGAGAGAGAGAGAGAGAGAGAGAGAGAG